TGCCAAGATTTTTTTTTTTTTTTTGAGAGAAAGCTTTAATGCCAAGAAATTCACCACCATTCCCAGATCAGCTGTGACTGTTTAAGACTTTGTCCCTCCCTTTGGTCCAGCTGACTAAGGGCAGGAAACGGGTTAAGAAAGCTGCTTATACCCCCCCACCCCTGCCCACCATCAAATTTGGACATGGTCAGAGAGAGTAATGGACAAAAAGAAACCGCAGGATGTGATGCCGACATCTACAGAGAAAAATGGCTGAGGGATCCCCTGTAGGGAGCAGAATTAAGACCTAACTCAGAGCAGCCCCCACCTCCTAGGGAAGAGCTCTGCCTTGCTTGCACAGAAGAGCTCAGAATTGCTGCATGTCAGGAGCTGCTCTGAGCCCTTAGAATTCTTTCCAAGATCACGTTAAGGACCCTGTATCTTTATACTATTGCATATTGTTTGAATTTTGGAGAGAACTTGTCCTTCTAACAGCTAGGTCTCTAGAATAAAAGAAGTCACATTTGGGCATGATTTCAAAAGAAAACCAGGCATTCCTCAGACTTCCTGCAATTTGAGCTGGAGCACAGAGTTGGGTTGGAGGAATTTTATGTCTTTCCCTAGAGGAGTGAATGAGGGTGTCTGCATGTACAGGAGAGGGACAGGGTGTTTGTAGCACAGGGCACAGCTTGTGGCAGTGAGTAGGGCTGTCCTTCTAAAATTGCTGCTGTCCTGCCAGGCACATAATATGATTTCACTGCTCTGCTCCATTGAAGGTCCATAAAATGTGAGCAGAAGTGACATTTGTCAGGTCCAGGTGGAAATTTCAAGAACCAGTGGACAACCCATCAGTCTCTCTTTACTAGACCCTGACAAGAGGCATCAATTCTATGCGGTGTCTGCCCTGATAACTGAGTCCTGGAGCAAGTGGAGTCCCAGGCACCCTTTACAAAATAGAATTTATGAGAAAGAATCATTTGTTTTTAAGCCACTAAGGTTTTATGATTTTTTTTTTAAACCACAGCCTGATTTCATCTATCCAGATAGATACTTCCATTTACTGAAAATTGCTCACTTAACACAGGGGAGAATGCATGTATTTTTATCCAGCACTATTTTCCATATCTATTAATTTAGGCATTAGTCATAGCCTAATAATAACTCGTCATCTCGAATATACCTCTTTTATTTTCATCACATGTAGAAGGAACATGCTAGCTTAGGATCCATTTTCGGGGTGGTCCATGTTATAGAAAATATTATCATCGTGAAGGGGAATTTTTTTATTACAGAGGCTAAGCAGAGCACACCAGGGACTCAAACACACGCTCACACCCCTGGTTCCCTGCATGTCTGCTCACCTTTGCAAAACTGTTGAATTCATACATTTTGCATACTTTCCCTCCCACTGACAATGTTGTTTTTAGACACAGAAAGCACCCAGATTTCTCATTTAAGTGTGTTTCCCAGTGAGATGCAATCAGTGAAGCAATTGTTATCGTGTTGCAAAAATACCTACCAAGAGAATGCAGGGCAAAAAATATAGCTTGTATTGTAGCTGTCAATTTTATAGCTGAAGAAAAGAGCTACCGTTCAGTGGTTTAGGTAAGAAATACTTGTGCTGCGGATTTTCTTAATGTGAAAATATTCTTTCTGGAATTTTCTAGGAGCAGTATTGAAATGGTATAAAAGTAAGTTTTTGGGCATAAATCAATCTCTATAAGTCAGTTGCTGCTTAGAAGCTAAATTTATTATTTATAGTTGGTAGTGAAAACAAATATTTATTAAGACATTCAAAACAGTTTTGAGCAGTGAAGTTAAATTTAGTGTATCAGACTACTAGCTCTTTAATTACAGTGTTTCTATATGTTTCTCCAATAAAATTATATACCAAGTAGCATTTGCATTGACCAGGTATTTGACATTAAAAACCCTTCAAATGCCCTTTGATTTAATATGCACTTATAATGGTACATGTGAATGGGGCTGAGAGTAAGTAGCATTTCATAGATTCACTCACATGAATATAATTATATCTCAAATTTCAGTTTTTGCATAAACTAAACATCAATTTTACTTGAACATGAATAAAACATGTGCTACAGTGTAGTTTCCTCTCCACCTTTAAAATGATTTTCCGGAGAATAATTTTATTTCTGATCTTGAATATTCACATTAGATGTAATGCTAATGTGGAAATACTTGAAAACAAACCCAGAATGTAAGAAAGACTCCGAGTGCATTATGTCGAATTATCCTGTAATGATTCCCAGTGGGAATGCTCACGTGGCCCACTGCCAGCCTTATAAAGAGCAGTGTCATAGCTTGTTGTACAGAACTTCTTTTATCGTGTCTTAGAAGCTTTCCTATATTTTATACTTTATTGAATATCCTGGATGCTACTAGAGCAATTTAATTCTCTATGCTTTCCAACTAAGTCAAGTGCCTCTTATTTTGTTTTAGAGTTCAAGTACAAACATCTAAATTAATGAATTGAGACATTCATTGTCATATGCAGAAACTTTGGTTATGTATACCTTTGTGAAGAACATTGTAATCATCTTAATAGGAAGTGCAAGTTAAATTGAAAAGAGAACCATTGACTGTAGAGAGAGAGAGAGCTTTTGACAATACTTGCTATTAAACACATTACATTAAATATAAAAAATGCAATGCAGACAAATGCTTGGAAATAAAAAAGAGCTGGATCAGAAGTGGAAGAAGGCATAGGATGGCCTATTTTCAAAAGTCTGCGTGCTTGTATTCCTAAGGTTCGAGGAAAATTCCAAGTTTTTAGTACTTTATCATTCCTAAATTTTTTTCCATGGTAAAATTTTCTTTAAGTAGACACATATAAACAGTTTATTCATCTTTAACTTTAGTCTTAAAGTAGGCTAAGAGAAAACAACCTGACTAGTGCCTTCATAGGGACGAGCAGCTAGTTCAAGGTATTGACTAGGAGTCACAGAGAGCAAAAGGAGGTACTTGGGGGAGTCCCACTCTCCTGGCCCAGCTTTCGGGAGAAGCTATATAGAAGGTAGACAATGATAAGAACACATTCTAATGATCTGTGCTTTGTCCATGCTGTTCATATAATAAGCCAAAGGATGGCCGGGTACAAGATTTTGGTTGTATAAATATCAAAAATAATAGTTACTATTTAATATCTAATTTATGACTATACTTTTTTTTAACTTTTTTTAAAGATTTATTTATTTATTTATTTGTTTATACAAGCACTGGGTACAGTCAGAAGCAGGGGAGGGTGAGAGAATTCACCAGAGCCAGAGCGGGGAGCAGAGCAGGCAGAAGGACCGAAGTACACTGCTGAGGGGAGCAGCGGGCGGCAGGAGAGGTCTGCGCGCCATGCAGGACCCTACTCCGGTGGCCGGGGAGCAGCCGGGGATCGAACTGGCACTGCAGAGGCTGTAGGCAGCTTCGCAACCCAGCGCTCAACCGCTGCACACCGGGGAGGCCCATGACTATACATTTTTGATAAGGAAAAAAAGGAAGTCTTCCTGAAAACTCTTTTAGGTGTGATCATTGTGATAGAAATAAGCATCCTCCATGTGGTCTCCTCTGGAAGGGAGCACAGTTGATTGACAGCTCCTGCTGAAATCTTCTGGACTCTGGATCCACCAGCATGTTGGTGACAAGTTCTTGATTCCCTGAGGCTTCACCCAGCCAGTGATGGACCATGACAGAGATACTAGTGCTGGCTCACTCCTTTGAGTCTCCTTTTGCACACTGTTTTAGGTCAGAGACTACCTGTGAGCTCAAAGTATTTGTAGAATAGTGCTGCAGTCGCTAATCTCACCTCTCCGATCCACCAATCCATAGTAAGAATGATGCTGCACATGCTGACCGTTCTAACTGGTTACTTCTCATTCTTCACATTCATCATTCCCTGGCACTTTCTCCCATAAATTAGTGTACATCTAGTCCCATCCTGCCAACAACCTCTTAGAAGTTGAAACTAGCACCTGGATATCAGCAAACTCCCGGTAACTAATACTTTCTTACTTCTATTGATTTCTCATTGACTAATGTTGGTTCTAAATGTTGCCAGCATAGATCAAAGCAAATTGTCTGATACATGAGTGATGTTGTCGCCATAAAACACTTCAGTCTACACAGTGTATTCTATGTGTGTGAGTCAGTTTCCTTGATCAGCCCCCAATGGTGTTCAGTTAAATTTTGAAATGCTCCTTCAAAAATCTTTGCTTTACACACTTTAATAGCTGAAATTTCTTAAATAGGAGCCTATGTTTCAGAGAGGATGACAAGCAATATCTTTAAATATTGTTGTCTAAACTTTGATGGGAGAATGTATTCATTAGCATGGAAAAAGTAAATATTATTTCAATGGTTAAATCGGTTAAAAATGAATGGCATTCAGGAAATGTGGCTTGCCGGAAGGAATAGAAACATTGACTCTCTCACAGACCAGATGTAAGATTGTGGTCAGTTCAGAAATGCCGTGCCTCCACACACTTCCCCGTATTTCTAAGACTATTTAGTCATTTGTACAGCCACTTAAAAATGTACGGGAAAATCTCCCCTTCTTTCCCTAGAGTATTCCCTGATTTTGCATACAAAATATTCAATTTGCTTTGGGAGGAGCTCTTTGAAGTTCCTACTTGAAAGGGAAAAACATTCTAGGTAAGTGGAACAGCAAATTCGGTTCCCCCGGGGAAGCAGAGTGACTGCAGTTGTGACGAACAGCAAGGGGCCATGGGTTGGGAGTGGAGCAAGCAAACTGGAATGAATGCATAGGCGAGGAGAAGTAGTGTGATTAGATGGATCTTAGGTCTTTCCTTGGTTAAAGATTGCTGGAATTAGTTAATAGAGTGTTATGAAATAGAAAGATAAAATCTAAAATTTGGATGATGTAATGTTTCAAAATAATATCTGTTTTTAAAAAAAAAGCAGTATCAGCATGGAGCTGTTCATGTCAAACCTCAAAAAGACTTAATGTCTAATCTGATTGCAATTTCAGCCCCTCCAAGAGTAGAAATCGGAACCAGTCAATCTGAAGATACGACTCCTCACTGGTAAGCACTAGTGATGCTATCGGGTAATGAGATAACCTTGCCTTTTCCTAAGGGAAGGTGGCTTTGCTGGAACTAATCTTTCTTTTCTTTTGCTAATAACCTTATCCTATCCTCTTTCTGACTACAAAAATCTTCAATTTTGGTAAATTTCTTATAGTGTCTTTCTACTTGCTCCATGGGATGCTGCCCAATTCGTGAACCATTTGGTAAAATGTTGAATTTGTGCCATTTAACATATTCTAAATTGGTAACAGTCATTGGTAATGACAAATTCTAGAGTATGCTAAGAGATTTAACTTATATGAAGTGGAGATGACTGTTGGAGCAGAGAACGCCAAGGACTAAATTGTCTACTTGGAAATCATTAATAGTCATGACAAGAATCTCCCTGGGGAGACCAGAAAAGGTCCTTGGAGAGAGCAGCAATATAATAAGATTTAAAATCTTTAAAATTTGAGAAAAAGTCATCCAGATCCTGTAGATAACTCTCAAGATGGCCTTGCATGCGGCATAACTGAGGCTGTGGGGTTAGATTGGCTCAGAAGAGCAGGAAAGGGTCCATGACTACATGCGATTCTCACTTCTAGAGGTGTGAAAATGAAACAGAAACTTGGATGACTACTTAGGAAATAGTATGCTCAAAGACAGCCAAGTTTGATTAGAGAAAGAAACTGAATAAAAAGTTTATAAAATGATGCTGGGGGGATTTTGCCAATGGTGGACTATTCCAGGATGGACAATGGGAAGGTAGAGCTCAGTAGCAAGAAAGTCAGGTAACAAGGATAACATGGGAGTTATGCTGTTAACAAGGTTAATAGCAGGGTAGATTAGGTCAGCAGAGTTCAAGGCCGATTGTGGAGTGGAGGCTGTCAGTGTGAGGGGACCAAAATGGAGGGGTCAAAGTTTTTGCATGTCTTGCTGACATCAAAAGGAATACCTTTTGTAAATGGCATCATGGAGGCTGAAGGGAGGGGCCTTTGTCTAGAAGGTACAGTAGAACCAGCTTTTTCTACAGCAGGGGTAGACTGGAGTAGGAATGGTCTGATCCAAGTCTCTTATATTTACTCTTTTTGTCACCAACCCTCGGGACAAGCCACTGGCTGCTTCTTTCCCCTCAGAATAAAATGAAATCTACTTTTGCACAGCAATTAGAAACTATTTATCAAGGAATGCAAATCATTCTCAAAATACACCTTCTCCCAAGTCCAGGAACGTGGGGTCCTTTGTAGCTACAGGAAGAGCTGCACGCCACGGGCCTAGGGATGGGTCCTGTGGTCACACAGGCTGACTTCTTTTGCACTAGGCACTTCTGCACATGTCTCTCTTTGCCACACCACCCCTGGTCCTCTTGGGGATGGCTGCTTTGGTCTGGTGCTGTGGTTACTAGCTTCCCCTCTTTGTTCCTGTAAGAAAGCACAACTCCAGAGAGGCTTGGTGACTGCAGTAGGTGGGCCTCCCCTGACTGACATTTATACTGAAGGCCATTTATGAAAAAATACTCACACAGAGTTAAAAAAAATCTGTTTAAATAAATTTGCATCACCATCCAATCTTTTAAAATATTGGCAGGAAACACATTCTCTTTGAGCGCAGGAAAAAGTGATAATTTGTAAGCATGAGCAGGGTGCCTTTAGCAACTTTATGTTACCTGAGTGAGTTCTGGCAATCCTCTCTATTTTAAAGAAAATAAAAGCAATGAGTTGCCCTTAATCATATGTTTTAAATTGTGGAAGAGCCACCATTTCAGCATAATTTACACAAATGGTTTCTACCCTATAGCACTATATCTCAGATGCTGGTTTACCTACCACTAACCAACTCTTCAGCTGTAGTTTGACATATTGACAAGATATTTCTTTCTATTTGATTATTTTTTTTTAATTTTAGATATCATTGATAGGTAACAGCTATGAAGAAAATAAGAAGCAGTAGAGGCTGTAGGTATAAAATAGAACCTCAAACTCAATGTATTTGGATTTTTATATTGACTTACTTAGTTGATTAACTGAACATTGAAATCCATTTTACTATTTCCTATGAGTGTCTCAACAGTGTTCTGGTTAATTGGAAATTCTACAGCATTTGTTGTTGGTCAGAGTTGGTGAGAGGACATAGTGTGAACTCCAGAGGTAATCTCCTAGTGCCCTTAGATAAAAGCTTCCATCTGATGTGGATGAATCCTTGGAGCTATTCATCCCAGCAGACAAAATCCACCTCCACTAAGAAAACAAAGTATTGAGAGTTTAACAAATAAATCTGTAAGAGTTTCTTTTGTGCCTTACAAGAGAATATTTAATTCTTGTTTTGTTCCTTTCTGTATTAGTCTTGCCAAATTGTATTAAGTATGAATAATTCAAGAACTAAAAGTGTTACTTGAGGTAAAATAAACATATAGTCCCTCCATATGTCCTCAATCAATCACAAAAACAAATATAAGGTTGATCATATAAATTGTTAAATGAACAAATCAGTTCAGAGGAAGCATGCTTTGGGCAGGGAAAAACATTATAAATATTAATATTTGCTATTGCCATACTGAAAAGTCTTATGTTAGCATATGGCCCCATGTTTTTTACATTTTAATTGAAAACATACTTAGAAAAGTTTTTTGTTTTAAATCTGGTTGTCATGACATCTTGCATTTCCATTTCAATCACAAATTCACTCTCATTCTTTGATGCTGTCGTAGTAGAATGCACATAAAAAACACAGAAGCCAAATGGCAGAGTGTTTTTCCTCATTCCAAAACTTCATGACATGTAAAAATGAAAGTTCCCCAAATATTTGCATTTTATTAGACGAGATTCAGAGGAGCTATAGCATTAGCATTCTTTCCTGGCATCTTGTAAAATTTCTGATTCTGACTTGACAGAACGGTGATAATAGACAAAAAGATAACCTTTTTGGTGTTTTTATTTGTAGGTACAAGTCAATTTATGCAAAAAAACAGTTTTAGTGATGCTAGTTTATCTAGTTTATCTATTCTCCAACACCCTGACACATACACACACACATATATATATATTGATCTATCTATAGATAGATCTATAGATATATTGATATATGTGTGTGTATACACAAACACACACACACACACACCCCTCCTTGCATTGTTTCTTTGATGCAGAAAACTCCAATAATCCTTAGTGTAATGGCTGTGACTCTCATATAGATAGGGGACTACTTAATCCTGAAACTAGCCTTTCTTACACAGCCGTATTTCACTCACTATTCTAACTGTCTCTTTAAGGGATATTATTTCCTGCCTTGGCAATATGCAGATATGTGTGTGTGTGTGTGTGTATCTTGAGTTCTTGTTCCACCACCATTCATAAATGTGATTTTTGAGAAAAGTATGCTCCAAGACAATGATGATGAGGACACAGACCTTAAGTTCTATCATCCTTGCCAGATCTGATTGGACAAAGTCAAAATATCTAGATGAAGGCATTTGGCTCATCTGTTCTGAATAATAGTTAGACCTAAGCTTTGCTATTGACAGTTTATCTTCAAGAGGTTGTTCAGACCTGAACAACATTTGCTTTTCCTCTTCTGCCTGCTGTGAGATGAACTTCTCTACTTCATCTAGTCTGTGAGTTAGTAAAATTCACATATCTTAATTACTTGGTGTAAGCAATCAACACATTAATGAATTATCATATTTTAATTCAAATCTTTATTTAGATGAAATCAATACAGTCCAGCCTTGAGTGTTTCTGAAACTTGAAGCCCTGTTCCTCAGCTGCTGGTAGACAGCATTTGTAGCATTTCCCAGATTGTAAGTGAAAGCTGATGGTTGTTTACTGGAGTGTCTTTGTAGTTATGAAGAGCACCTGTGTCTTAGAAATTGTTCACCTCCTCACATTGTTTCTGTGATGCAGAGAACTCCAATAATCCTTAGTGTAATGGCTGTGTCTCTCATTTGGATAGGGGACTACTTAATCCTGAAACTCGCCTTTCTTACACAACCATATTTCACTCACTAATCTAACTCTCTCTTTAAAGGATGTTATTTCCTGCCTTGACAATATTGCAGGACCACTATGGATTATGATTACACCTTTGCAACCTGAGTCTACATCCAACATGATGCCCAAGGGCTTGGCTTATGGCCTGAAGGAGCCAAGTGTGGATCAGCATTTGCTGCTGTGATTGTTGTAATACCACTAAAATGAAAATCAGGACTATAGAAAAGAGTAAATTGCATAAGAATATATAGTTTGGAAAGATATGGTTTGTGCAGAATGCGATTAAGATCAGCTTGTGATTTTATTAAATGGAAGATCTGTTATAAAATAACCTATGTAAAGTGACCCACTAAATTTGATTTTAATATATGCACAAGTTACTCTAAGACATATTTTTCCTCCCTTAGCAATAGTTAAGCTGAAATCCAGTAAGGATCTATCCCTATGCCACAACCAAGAATGCAGATGAGATTGGGCTGATGGAATTAAGTCATCATAAAAATTTATGAATTACTTTCCACTGCATTTCCCACTTATCAGGAGGAAATTACATGAAATCTTATTCAGGTATGGGAGCAAAAAGAAATTATTTCAATCTAATCACGTAAAAACATGATGAAGGTATGTTATAAAGCAGTGAATTATTTAAAGAAGTATTCTGTAAAGGGAAATTTCAACATTTATTGATGCTTTTAAAATGAAAAATAAGGAAAGAATTATCTATTTATTCACTAGCTATTTTTAGTCAAGTTTCTTGTTTTTTCCTATTCACTAACATCTCAAACCCCTACAATTATTTTACTCTTCCTAAAAGAACTTTATGAAACTATCCTGTTTTGTTGTCCATAAAGATACATCTCTCAAAATTTGTTCTCAAATTATTGCATTCTCCTAACATTGCATGTCACCAATTATTTGCTGAACAAGCAAAGGTGGTGTTTGGTTGATGTTTAATTAAATTGCTACACATTCCATGTGGGAGAGGGGTATACCTATGGGTTTTCCTCCTATGGGGGCAACAATGAAAAATAT